ATGTTACTGATACACTTGATGTAGTAATGACATAATGTTACTGATACACTTGATATAATAATGACATGATGTTACTGATACACTTGATATAATAATGACATGATGTTACTGATACACCTGATATAATAATGACATGATGTTACTGATACACTTGATATAATAATGACATGATGTTACTGATACACCTGATATAATAATGACATGATGTTACTGATACACCTGATATAATAATGACATGATGTTACTGATACACTTGATATAATAATGACATGATGTTACTGATACACTTGATGTAATAATGACATGATGTTACTGATACACCTGATATAATAATGACATGATGTTACTGATACACCTGATATAATAATGAAATGATGTTACTGATACACTTGATATAATAATGACATGATGTTACTGATACACTTGATATAATAATGACATGATGTTACTGATACACAGGAAAGTATTGTCACGACTAATGATAATTGCTGTCAATTTTTCAATATTTCTGAGCTCTGTTCGGATTATATTCGTTTAATAACTTTAAAAAACTGATTCAATTACTTGATTAAAACATTTTAAAAATGTCTTCTTATTAATTTCTAAATTTCGATTAAGTCTTTGAGAATTCTTCAAACTTATTTCCAAGGGGTAAATAAAAATATAAATGTCAATTTGACGAAACTGTTCATTCGTTTGATAAACCAAAACCAAAATTCTGAATACATCAGGAGATAAGCGCGAATTTCTCGGAACCGGGGGTGAAACCAAATAACTGCACGCACAAACGGCTAAATGATGTTCGTCAAGGTGAAACATTGATGTCGCTGAGACATGATGATGATGATATAAAGCAGAAAATAACAGTGATATTATAAAACACAATACTCGACCTACTACGATGGACACCTATAAATATAATGTCAGCTAGAAAATAAAAATTGATTTTTATTGTGTTAAACCTATAGATACCAAAGATGACGACTTTGGATACAAAGAAATCATATATAGAACTAAGTGTTTGGAGTAATTCCACCGTTTAATATAAGTAACTGAGACTAAAGGGTGCCAAATTTCAGACAGGCATTTGTGGGGAGTTCAATCATCTAATATGAGAACTGGAACTAGAGGGTACCATGTTTAATAAGTATTACTAAAAGCCTAGATAAGAGTTGTGGTGTAATTTCGCCGTGTAATATGAGAACTGACTAGAGGGTACCATGGAAATTACACCACAACTCTTATCTAGGCTTTTAGTAATACTTATTAAAGCCGTGTAATATGGGAATTGAGACTAGAGGGTACCATGTTTAATCAGTATTCCCGTTAGCTCAGACCCTAATTTGACAAGCCGCTGCAGATCGTGATTCCACGTACACCAACTACACAGAAAGAGTCCCTCAGTACAGAGCAACAACTGTCTATCTGTAGAACATAAAACACGTTGGACCTATTATAATCATTATCCGAGTATTTGAAACATTCTGTCACACATATAAAGTTGAGACACATTTTGAATATCAACGATCATACTAACCAAGTAGTCTACCGAGTATTTACTTTTCTTCTATATGTGTTTGTTTTAGAGCAAAGCCACATTGGGCTATCTGCTGTATCTACTGCGGGAATCGAACCCCAGACTTCTGCATTGTAAGTCCATAGATTTCCCGCCGTCCCACTATGTATTGATAGTCAGTTTTGATATTTTGAATCTATTGCTTTCTGGTCGTAGAGCTCAAGTTGTCCTCTGATTGGTTAGTTCTCTAGTTATAATGTCGTGCAACAAATTATAGAAATTCTTTAATTTTTTTTTTGTTTCGGTACAGTATTTAGTTACCGGTTCGTACCGGAAATACATGTCATAGTTTTTAATTCGGATAGCAGTGTATCGCATATAGTATGAACACATAACGAACATATAATGAGCATGTAACTTTAACACAGGTAGGAATGAACACATAACGAACATATAATGAGCATGTAACTTTAACACGGGTAGATTTTTTTAAACGAGATAGTTGTTAGAATTAGATAAAAATAACCGTCACGTGAAACGTTTTCTATCATTACGTCATTTTAATATTTTCTGGTCTTGCTTACAAACATTTGTCATTTACCGAGTGCTGTATGTTGGCATAAGATAGA